GTCTCAGGTAAATTGATAAACCATAGTAGTGTATATTTTTGGACAATGAACTTTAAAAGTGAAATACTCTTAAGAGCACTTAATGTTCATTTATAAAATAAAATTTTGATATATTTGATATATTAATTTATAAAGATATTTACTGAAATTTGAGCCACATTGCTTGTAATAATTTTATATAATATTTTTTCTCGGGGACTTGCTTTTTAAGATTTACAAATAGCTGGCGCGTTTGTATTTTTCAGTCATACATTTTAGGAAAATAAATTGTCATTATAATTCTTTTTTCTTTTTTATCACAATATTACGATTATAATTGCAATTATTTTTTTGACGTATTCACACATATAACAATTAAATTTATAATTTCTATCTCGAAAATTTTAAACCACTTAATTTAGACGTGACAGTTTTTTATTTTTTTTAATATTTAATTAATTTCAATTAAATGAGATTTTTCATCGTGTCATTAAATTAAAAGTTGTTTATATTTTTTTTTCATAATTTGACATGATCTCTTTGAAATGAGTTCATAGATTAATACTTAAACCTTTTATAACTTTTAATATGTGTTTAAATGCTACTGAAATATAAAGAATGCATTATAATGTTTATTTAATTAAATATGTATGTGTTTGTATGACTTACGTGCTGATAATAGTAACATTAATTTTAATAAAATTATACGTATTTACGATTTTACTTTTAATTCTTGTGGCTTTTTGAATTAAATACTTTTTATATTTTATAGTTTTAAATTAATATTTTTTAATTTTAAATATTATTTTATTCAATGAAATCATATTAATGATTAAATATAATGGAGGAAAATCATTAAAATAGTGCGATGTATATAATATTAATTTTACTTGTACATAAGTAAAACTAATTTAATCTGAATTTTGGTTCGTCTAAATATTGTTACATCTCAATGAATTTAAGGCATACTTTAAATGGATTTAGTGTAGTAAATATAATCATACGTACCAAAAAATTGCTAGAAATGTGTTCTAAATGTATTTTTAATGATCTCTTGAGTTCGTTTTTAGCTTAATATTTCTTATATTTTTCATCTAAATATATTAGATAAATATATATAAATAAATATATAGTAGTTTTCAACTACTTATTTATAACCTAATTAAGTCGATATTTTTGTATTAAAAACATATTTGCCATTTTATTTGAAATCTAAAATTAAATATTATAGGTTACTTTTTACACTTTTTAATAACATGTTTGGATTTTATAACTATTACAAGTTTTACGCTTATATGAATTTGGTACAATAAAATTTTTTATAATAATTATTGCTCAAAAATATCAGTCATTGATATAATCAATTGATTACTAAAAATATAGAACAAGAAGATTTTTTTATTATTCATATATGTTTTTCTGAACAAACACGAAGAATTATTTTGTTTTTCCCAAAGTTAATCTCTGAAAACTTTCGTTGATTATTGTATTATTTAGAATATTTTCAGATGTATCCATCTCATCATTTATATGCTGACGTTTTGAACTCGTTCATCTTCGGAGCGATACTTACAACTGTATATGTTAAAAAATAACATATACAGTTGTATCAGCATAAAACTGAAGATATGAATATGTTTGTAAATATTCCAAATTATACTAAGTTATTATTTGTTTATCGTGTTAAATTTGTAAATGTAAATTAGTTGAAGAGTTTTGGGATATTTTCAAACTACACAGTAACAAAATTTGAATTTCTTTTGAAAACTATTCATTATTGAGAAAAAACCGATTACATTTCCAGCACTTCAGGCTTTGCTTAAATAAAATGAAACCTTACATGCCTTGAAAATATGATTTGAGATCCATTCCAAGTGATATTTGTTTTAATTTTACATCATTCTCCTATACATAGACTCTTGAGGATTCTACTAGACAACGTGTATCGTATATTATTAATTCTTCATGAAATTATTATTAGAGTCTGATACACGATAACAATTTGGAAGATATACAAGGAATGACAAGCAAAAACATTCGTTTTGAGTTCATGATTGCCTTAAATATTATATTTTCCTTAATTTTAATGAGTACTAATGGGAATGGTGAAAACTTTGTAATGCAAAACTTTGACGCAACTGACGATGAGTGTAATGTTTCATTTATGTTCAAAATAATTTTGCGACTGAAATGTTTTTGCTTATTATACGGAAATAAAATATTCTTTTGTCGTGCTAATTTATTCTTATTATTATTGTTAGCCCAATCCGTTAACATTTTTAAGAGTCTCAGCCGTTTGGGCTAAAGTTACAGTAATTATAGTAATTACTATTATTACTATAACGTACAGTACCAAAGTGTATTAATCATTACATTAGTTTGATTAATGTAAATATACAATACATAAAAAAAAATGTTTATAGATATTAAACTGCTGCTGACTTATTATAATAATAACAAATATACTGACTCTTCTATTCTTTCTGAAAAAATATCTAGATAATTTAGAAAAATAACTATTTTTTTTACGATACATTTATACAATGAATTTTTAGTTTTTAGAAAAAAAATGAATGTTTTTAGATTTTTAATCATAAATTATAAGTTAACATGTAAGTAATATAATGTTGATAATGTCAAGAACTATTAACCTCTTATAGACCCTTTTAATTTATTTTAAATTTGGCCGACTGCTTAAAAATTAATAGGTTTTACTTTATATATGAATAGCATAAAATTAATTGCTAGTTATTTGGTAAGTAATATGTATATATACAATTTTTATTATGATTTCTTAACTAAACTTTCGAAAAAAGAATTGCTTGTTGAAATTAATATTAATTTTTTTCAGTTTTTAATAACGCCTAAGTTATACCCAAGGAATGCGGCTTTTAAGCACTTAAAATTAATTTCTAGTTCAAATTTATTCATTACTGGTTTTATAAAAGACCTTGTAAATATCAAATACTATTCACGTGTTAATCAAAATCTATTAATACAAATTCCTATTCTTATCCAATGTTCCCTGTATTATATTTGGGTTGTTATATTGTAGCAATACTGCGCGCTTTAAAATATTCTACACTAAAATATAATTTAATTATGTATTATGAAAATTATTAATTTTGTGGGTATTAAATAAAGCAAACCTTTACAAATTTCATCGACGCGTTCACTGTTTTTTGACATTATAAAATTGTATCATATAATGTATACCACAGCTTTGTTGGTGCCATTGTTGCATACTTTGTTGTCCTTGTAACTAGTCTCTGTTAAATCCCGAGAGTTTAATTGTTGAATTAATTATGTTGTCGTTTAATATTGCAAACAGAAAATAACAATTGTTTCCCTTTAGAGTTAGTAGAATTGTTATTAAATTATAGTGTATGACAGTTTTTAGCGGTCCATGCAAAATTTGGTCCTCTTTCATCTGACATAATTTTCAGTATCAACAATTTTTTACGCGATCAATATTTTAGTTTGGAATATTTAACAAATACTTTGCAGTAGTAGTAAAGTTCATTCGAACACCTATTAAAGAAATAAATTTGATCAATATCTTCTTATGTTCTATATACATACAGCTGTTAATGTAATTTAAAAGTTTTTAATTACCATACAAACATTTTTTTTTTAATATTTTAGAAAATTTAGAAATAATTATTGTAACTTCAAAAACAATTATTCTCACATTAAATTTTTAAGTAAAATTTACATAAATTTAGAAGATTTTGAAATATGATTATACCTAATACATGATATCACGTTGTCTCGTAGTAAAACCGTTACTGTCCTGTTTGTATATATTTTTCCATTAATGTCGTATCCTCAGAGGCAGATAATATGATTTCTTCATGACCTAAAAAGAAAAATTGCTATTGTCAGATATCCCAATAGAGCTGTAAAGTTAATTTATTCGCACCAAGCGCCAATTGAATCATTTATTTTACTTGTCTAACTAAAGAAACACGAGTCCGTTTGGGCCGTTTGGTAGGATGATGTCTTGAGCATGTTATAGAATTTTTTCTCTTTCGATTACGTGATCGTATCTAAATTCCAAACAAACTCTTGATATTCCACTCACGCATGACAATTCAATAATTTATTTACTCAGGCGGTTAGCCAGTCGTGTTTAATCGCTGAAACAGTTTTACCTTATAGCGGTTTTAAAGATTAATACAGAACAAAAATTACAAACTTTGTCTTACAATCGTAACAAATGTACAATGTTTTTCCCAATGAGTTTCTCCGGATTCTCATTACAAGTAATGAAATATATTGATGACCGAGTTCAAATTTTAAAACATTCTTTTTTCTTAGGCGTTTTAAGTAGATCGTAACTTTTTCAAAATGTACATTTATATACGAAGCATTAGTTTTTAAATTGACTTAAAAATTCTCATTTTAATAATAGAAGTAATATCTGTATTCGTGAATTAAGATTCACTAGTATGGTTTTTCGGATTACTACGATGTACGTTCAAGTGCAATACTTTCACGTATCAAAATTGCCTATCTAAATCGCCGTATTTAACATGTGTTACCGAATGTTCTTTTCTATTAGAGTATATTGAATCAATAAATCTCGTTTTCTTTAAATCAATATTTATATCGAATAAGCAACGAATTAATAAACAATAATGTAATATTTAAAACAAAATACATCATAATTATTGAATTTTGGAAACATTCTAGTATCCATACAATATTTTATTGTTAAAGATTTTATAATGTCGAAAAATTTTAATTTTAAATAAAATAGCCTTAAACATTCTTTAAATGTCACTTTAATATATTTTTATATAAATTGTAAATCTACAAGAATTTGTGTTTTCTTGTATTAGATATTTCTATTCGTTAATATTATTCGAAAAATGTACAGAATTTATCGTAGAAACTCAATGTATGCCATAATTTAAATGCTGTTTATTAACTAGTTAATAAATGAATTAATTGAAATTATCGGTCTAACTTTTTAAATTAACCTGTGACAATTATATTGTATTTTGGTTATTTTTCAGGTGACGAGCTTCGTCGAGGTAGATCTGCTAAAAGAGATGATCCTCGAAGACATACATTATCCGGTGACCAACATCATAATTATCAACCAGCTCTTACAAGATCTATGGATTTAGAAGTGAGTTTAAACTACGATAAAAATGTCAAAATTAAACTTTAAGTAGTTTTAATTCGTTTATTAATTTTTTTTATTTAATTAAAAATTGCTGCTTAATTGCTTATCGATATATTGCTAATCATTTTTTTCGCGGTTTACGCTGCTTTTAAGATGGGAACAAAAATGCAACGAAAAAAAGTAAGTAAAGTAAAATACCAATGATTGATGATCATCAAGGGGCCTTTTTTTAAATCGTCCGTTCACGAATATATACGTTAAGATTTAGAATAGGTTTATATAGCAATCGTTGTTCATGAACACGTACGTTGGCGATAGGAACATATGAAATATCGAACGGGCGACCGTTTAGAATAATAGAAAGGTTTGACCCATATACTTACCTTTTGGTAAACATATTCACCTAAAATATAGTTTTAAATTTAGACAGCATTTAATTAATTAAACTATTCATTAATTCATTGAAGTAGGTATACTCGGAAATAGAGGGGTTACGGCCACCGATTTTTCTTTAGCTCCCCAAATTTTAAATACCGACTGAATATATATATATATGTATATTATATACTTATAAAAATATTTATTTATAGCACATAAAATATTCATTTATCAAATATAAAATGCATTTAAAAATGCATCCATTAAATTCATTCATAAAATACGATATAAGATACATGTTTGCATTCTATTTTCAAGATAATGTGAGAGCGTAGATTATGTGGGAGATCGTGTCAAGTGGAAATTTAGATTAGGGTGGCCGACCCTAAGTAGTTGGGATTAAGGCGAGGAAGAAGAAGAAGAAGATATAAATAAATGTTAAGAAGATATAAAAAAAAAACTATTGATAACATTTATTATTTACATAAATTATTTATTTATTTATAAAAATAATTAAGAATAAATAAAAGTATAGAAAATAAATATAAAAAATCTTTATTTATATATAACATAATACAATAAATTTATTTTTAATCATTATTTTAATTAATAAAAAGATAAACAAATAAATTTAATTAGATTATATAATAAAATATATGAAGCACTTTATTTTTAGTATTATTGTTTAAAACCATTCATTTATTTAATTAAAAGTGTATTTTGTTTTTTTAAATTTCAATAACTAAATCATTTATATAATTATGACAATTTTTTTAATTAAAAAATGCAGTGCATTTTTTTAAATTTATATTAAGTGAATTAAATTAATCATTTGTAAATATATATTTATTAATAATGAATTATTGATATTACAAAGTAATATATCGATTAAAAATAAATATTTTAAAATTAAAAATCATGAAGTTGTATAACTTTAAAATTCAAAATATTTATTTATATTATTACAATAAATTGAAAACGTTTATTGAACTTTAACGTTCAACATTGTACAATAAAATGTTGACCGTATACCTAACATTACAATAGAATCCGTTTAACGAACGTATACGTTTGTCGAACGGACAATTCAGAAATAGGCCCCCAGAACATTAATTTTATTTGTTTGATTTGGTTAATTCATCAGTATTACAATAATATGGTTACTCTTAGTTATAATGTAGTAAAAGTTTTATTTTATAATAGTATAAAAAAATATACATAATGTATAAATATATATACTTGAAATAAAAATTAAATATTAAATAAGTAAAATTATTGCAAGAATATTAGTTGCATTTTGGTACCCTTTTTCTTGTTAATTGCTATCGGCTAAAATATATTTTCACTATACCAAACATTTAATATCAAAAATTAAGGTCACTCTATAAAATTTAAATTATGATAAATTTTTATTTTGTTAAGCATATATAATAAGCGTGTAAAAAATAAAAGTCTGTTTGAAAATTCTATTTTTAATATAAAATAAATTAAAAACTTAAAAAAGGAACTATTTTAATATTTTTTACGGTTTTATTACAGTCACCTGCATCTAGAGGAGCATATCCTCCAACAACGGGAATGCTGTTTGATGATGATCCTGGTATTATGTCTGAGGTAGAAACTAGTTCTACTGGATTCAGAAGAGGTAACAAACAGAGGAGCTCATTACCAGTGGTCAGAACTCCTTCAAAAACATTGGAACGACCTTTAGGTTAGGATAATTGAAATTCTTGATTTTTATTATTTATATACAATTAAAATAATCCACTAAATTCAAATTAATTACAAATAATTAAAAACAATTTTTTTCCAAGTTTTATGAGATGATTTAAAAGGTATTACATATAATTTATGCAATATAATAATCAAGAGACTAGAGTACTTTAGAGTTATCATTTGTAATATCAATTACATTATTTTATTATATTATTCAGTTTAATAAGTTTTTCATAAAAGTCATTTAAAGCTTCTATTTTAATTTTAATAATTCGTTAAAATTATTTAAAATATGTATTATTTAGAAAATATTTTTAGTGAAATATGATTTGTGTTAGGAAGTGTAATTTATTTTCACATTTTAGGTTCATTTTCTTTTATTAAACATTAAAACATCAGAAAGATAGGAATATTTTGGAAACTCGTAAATCATAACTTTACTATGAACTGTAGCTTTATTACTTTTCAAATACATGTGTTAATTTTAGTGACTAGAATAAATACTGGACATCGTTAAATTTAAAGACTTTCGTTTAAATGGTTTGGTTAAATATTTAAGATTGCCAACAAACTTTTTCGATTTTACCCTTCCATATATATCATATAAACTATCTTTTGACTTCTAAAATGTTTCACTATACTACTAAATATTAATGATGAATTTCCTTGTTTAGTACTATTAAAATACAGTCTATATGAAAATACAATTAATACTAATGTAATAATTATAAATTTCTTGTAAAGCGGTTTACTCATGTATCTACTAAATCATAAAATTTTTACGAATTTAAAAATAAATGATTGTAAACAATATATTTTTTTTTGTACTAAAATGTTAGCTACATGGGTTGTATTATTTAATATGTACATTATTGTACATTCATAAGTAGTGCAAGTAAAATTATTGTATTAAATATTTTCTGTTGAAATATTCAGAAGTAATTTACATTGAGAGATAAGTTTTTATCTCAATATCATGATTTAGAGAAATAATTAACGAATTTTGGTTTATGTCATATAACAATGAATATTTTTAATTTCTTGAATTCAAATTTGATATATTGATTTTTACTTTAATATTAAATAATCCTGTTATTTAAAACAGTTGAAATGTGTATTTAAATACAGTTGTCACAACCATTATAAATCTAACAAATATTAATTAAGTTCCTATCATTACCGTGTAATAAAACGCATTATCATACTCTTTTTTTTACCAAAATAATTGTCATCTTAAAAAATGTGAGCAATGGTAATTTATGTATTATAAGGTTTTCCGGTGTTGAATGAGGAAATGGAATTTCATAATGTGGTGGTGACTTACCCTCGTCAAAGTTTAGGTGAGATTATGTTCATCTATGTTGTTTTTCATTATTTATTTATTTATTTACAATTTATTTATTGCTAAAAAAAAATTGAAATTTCACATTCAACATTTAAATCCAGGCACAAAATACCTCCATTCTTACCTGCATTATTATTTTCATGTTCAAATAAATATTTGTGATGAATCATACAATTGGGGTCATCGTCTTTTAGATATTGCATGTGATTCACTTTGTTATAATTTACCCTGTGTTTGTCAATGAATATTTTATTTAAGTGGTATTACAAGACACTGTTAATTTTTTTCTAGTAATATACAGAGGAATGTTTTATCCGTAACCACTCGACTACACCTAAAATAATAGTAGTAAAATTAAAAAGTATTAATTTTGACTTTTTTAAATTATAATTATAGTTTTAGGAGTAATCGAATGGTTAACAGTAAAGCCTTCACTCATTCTTTTAATACTAGCAATTCAATTTCTCTTAAAGTAATGATTATGTTAATAAAATTATTTTTGTTTAATTTTTAAGTTTCTTATATTTTTTGATTTATCAGTTATTAATTCCTCTTTAATTTAGTATACCTTATAAGAGTCTTAACTTTATTTTTTAAATAACAACATATGTATTTAATTATCTTACAAAATAAAAAATTATCTAATTAAAAAAATGACTAGTCAGTAACAAAATTTCAATTCTTCATTTTGGAAGTTATTACTATTTTAAAATATAGACTGGTTGGGTTGGGTTGTAAGGGCATGGGGGCTCAACAATATGTATCATTAGATATTTCTCGGCTGTGTCACTCCTCCAATCTAGATATAAAAATAATAATAACTTAATTATTTAAATTATTTATTTATTTTTTAATTAATTAAATACTTAATTATTTCATTTTTTGTTTTTGAAGTTAGTTTAATTTGTATGTTGTCATTAAAAAATGAAGTTGTCACCCTCATAAGGTATAAGGGATAAATAAAAAAGTTAATTATTAACTGATAAATCAAGAAATATATGAAAGAAAAATCCAAAAAAGATTTTATTAAGATAATTATTATTTTAAGAAGATTCGACTGGCTAAGGTTAAAAAAATTATTCTGGTTATATGATTCAAGTATAAAATTATTTAAAGACACATTTAGTTATTAAATGAGTCTTTGCTACTAAATATGGAAATGATGCTTTTTTAAGGCGTGCAAAATAATGTCCACATTTCATTGTCAATTTGATAACAGACATATTTTGTGTAATTAATTTAAATTTATATAGAGTGTTCAAAAATTAAGAAAACAGTTAAATTGTGACAAACTATGAAAATAATAGAAACCCTTTTCCTTACTTACTGAACACTCTATATAAATTTATAAACACACTTTAAAACATTTTTATTGCTATTGATGGTTTTTTATTTATTACTCAAAAGATGTATTTGACTAATTGAATATAACAAAAAATAAATAAATAGCTTTTTTGATAATTAATGAGTAATTTTAAATTATTGGCAGCCGCAAAGTAAGTTTTAATAAAGTTCATTAAAAATGTGCTAATTAAAAAAATTAATCTTATTATATGTGTAATATAAGGTGTTCAGCAAGTAAGGAATCTGTTTTTTATTTTTCTCATTGTCGATTTCAATTGTAACGATTGATCTATTTCCTTACTTACTGAGCCTCTATATAGTGTATAAGTATACTGAAATGTCTTTATTATTTACTTTGATAATCAGTTGTCTCATGAATAAAAGTTATTTAAAGTTTTTTGTCCCTTATAATATGATAAAGTAAAGAGAAAATAACGTTCAAAGGTTGGGATTTTTCAAAACCGTGTATTCAAAATTAAATAATACCCATTTTATGTACAGCTCGTTTATTTATGTCTGGTATAACGGATTCCAAAATTTAACATATATTTTTTTTGTACTGAGACAATAGTTTTAGAAACCCAAACATTCCTTTCATCCAAAAGAGACTATTCATTACTTTGTAACTTGTTCATCACCATTTTACCCTCCATATTTTTACTTAATACCTCTCTTTTATGATTTAAAAAATTTATCAACAAAATTAATTATTTTATCACTTTTTATTCGTGTAAAAATATAAAAAATAAATACATTTCAGAAATGTTTCTTCTTAAAAGAAGTATAGGTATTGGCTGTTAAAGAAATTTACCACTGTTGTTTAAGTTTGCATGATTTACTTAAAAGTATTTACAAATTATCATTAATTTAAAATAGAAGCTTAGTATAATTTAGGTTTTTTTTTCTAGGCTTAGTATTTCTTCAATACCGAAGTGAAACAAAACGAGCTCTGCTTCCTAACGAGATTACATCCATTGACACAGTAAAAGCGTTATTTGTGAGGTCCTTTCCGAAACAGCTAACAATGGAATACATGGATTCTGCTTTAGTAAAAATCTACATACACGACTCGTCTAAGGATATGTTTTATGAGTTGGAAGATCTTAGGTATGTCAAATTTTAAGTAATTAAGTGTGCTTAGACAAAGATGGATATTTTACTGTCTATGGTTAACATTTTTAATTGTATTTTTTAAATTTAATATATGATTTTTAAATTAATTTTTGATAGAGTTCAGAAAAAAAGAATAAAATAAATACCCTAAATTTATTAATGTCTGAATAGATAATATGCATTCAATAATATACACTCTAGAAAAAACCTGTTACACCCGTTTGTTATATGTTTCAATTATACTTAAAAGTGCTTTGTTAGATGAAGCCTTTGTTAGAATTTTTAATTTATTTAATATATTAAAAAAATCAAATTTTTGATGAAAATTGTTTTTATTTAATAATTACTCTGTTTTGTTTTAATCTTATTATTTCTTCACGCGCAATTAGTGACAATGCATAAAAATTAAGTTTATTCACACTACTATTTCATGTTTAAGATGAGATTACTGATCGTCAAAATAAAATAAACTGAACTTTAACTAAGTAAGATTGAACGTAGAAGAAGACTTACTTTAATTAAAAGAAATAATTACTGATCGTTTGTCATATTTCACGTAATTCACATTTTTTTAAAAATACCATCAAGTATAAATAGACGTTATGTAATTGGGGCCATGTATATTTAGAATATAAAATATAAAAACGATCAAATTTCGTTGGTAGTAAAATCAAATTTAACAAAAACACAAAAAGTATTAATAGAGAATTGAACTTTTTTCAATTTCTTTTCGAACTTTTATGATTTTATAATTATGTTTTTTTATATTCTTCACATTAGTTACTAACAAACGAGAACTTAAACATAATAGAACATTAAATGTTAGTTGATGTATTTTTGGCGAGAAAAAATCAAATACAGAATATGACAGGTTTTGATTTATTTTTAGTCATGATTTAGTTAAGTGCACGTGCATCTGTGGCAGTTACGAAAATATTATAATCTATATAATGTACTATACTAAAAGTTAAAACATAAAATAAATGTAAACGTCACAACTGTAGAAGCTTTTAACGTTTCATTTATTTTTACAAAAAATTAATATAAAATCAACTTTAAAGAATCTACTTTAAAATGCACACATTTAATACCAACTATGTAATATAAAATCATTGAATCATATTTTAATTAATGCAGTTCCCTAGGTGAATTAATTCAAAATAATTTTTTAATGAAATAACACTTGCAATAAGTTTACATTAAAAAAACTCATATGCCAATTAACTCATTTTAGTATATTTACCTTTTTTTAATTATTCCAGGTAATGCAAAACATTTATGAGAATATATATATTTATATCCTCGTCAATTTAATTATTTACTTAGTAAGGTGTTCCCTATAAATCTCATGAGAACGCGCATTGTATTCACCACAATTGAGACTCTTGAGTTTTTGGGTTGAAAATCTTATTTATTTTTCTTAAATACAATTTTTATTATATTTTATTGCTATTTTTATTAGTATTTCATTTTACCCAATATTTATCATACCAACACATAGGTAGTATTTGAATAGTATTTTCCACTATAAACTTTATTTTTAATCATTAACGATAATATATGAATTATTTATTTTTATAAGTTATATAAAAATGAATAACCATATTGGTGTTGTTTTATAGGTCACATTTGAATGATATCCGAGACAGGTCGGTATTACGACTTTTTGAATCTGCCGAGGGAGGTTCTTTACCACAAGGATTAACGGTAGCAGCACCCACTTGGGATCAAGATCAGTCCTATTTCAGTGAACCTGAATTTGACTCTGAATATCAACACCAGCACATACATAAAACTAAGGTATTTATTACTTCAGCTGGATTTCATAAAAACTTTATAGCGTGTTATTATGATTTCCTGAAGTTTTTGAGCAATTTATTTTCTCTCGTTTCTAAAAACACTGAATATATTAAGATAAATATAATCTTCTTTAGACGTTAATTAATTAATTAATAGTCTTGTTTTTTTTAAATTATTCGCATTAATTAACTAATTTTTGTTATTTTTGGCAGTGAAAAATTGTCGTAAGAATTTATAACGTTAATGTATTGCGGTAATGTAATTTCTCACGCATTTATATTCACGATAAAAGCATCTGTTCTCTAGCGCTAAGTTCATGAGTATTATATGTTTTAAAAAAAAACTTCTAGATGAAATAAGGTAATTCACACTAAAGTGGTAGGGATTTGTATATCCAGATACTTGTGTGCATTAGTGGTGTGTGTAATGTTTGAAATATACATACATATTTAAGATGAAAAGGTACCACAGTATCTATTGTACAATTGTTTTAAAATATTATAATTTTAATGATTGTGTATTTGGTAATATTACATAATATAAATGCTCATCGTCATCATGATACAATAATAGGTATGTAAATTACAACAGATTTTTATAATATAAAGAGCAGTTTATGACAATACATATTATGTATTGCCATTAACAAGTTAACAATACAAACAAGTTTTATAATAACAGTTAATTAAACAATTACTGTTATTTTACAATGAATTACACTTGTTTTTGTTAGTACATAAATTTTAAATCTATTTAATTTAATTAAAAAGAACATCCAACGACAAAAACCCAAACTATTTTGTGTTTTTCTTTTATTAAATTAATATTCATGTTCAACGTCCTCTCTAAAAGCATTGCTTGTGCCAGAGAGGCCGGTAAAGCAAAATACATAGCCCAGAACAATAAATTCGAACACACATGCGTTTCCGACTGAGCTATGTAAGTTGCCTATAAAAAATGGTATTTTTAAAAAACAGTAATAACCATAATAATAATAACATAAATTATATCAATAGTTATTAAAATAATACTTAATTTATATATACACAGTAACTTTATCACAGCTATATAATCTACTATATTTACAAACATATACACATATAAATTTAATCGAAGAATTTTGAGCGTTTAGTTGTTTGTGGCCGATTTACAAAATTCAAAGAAATATTGTATATACTAGTTAACCTAAAATCTACTTAACTAAGTCATAAAATTAAGTAATAAAACATTATAAATAGTTAAAAAAAAAATTCTAAAAAGACGAACAATCTATGAAATCTTTAAATAATTAAAAAAATAAAATAATTAGAGTATAATTATTAATCCTCAAATCCAATGGTGTGATAATTTCCCTTTATCGGTTGATTGCCTAACCGAAGTACTCTGTGCTTTTTTTTAAATAGGTTAGGTTACGAAAATGTTATTATTTAAACATCTTGAGTGTTAACATTGGCGTTTTCGTTTACGGCTACCAATATAGGCAACTAAATTATCTTCTGTGAAAATATGAATTTGTACATTTATAAACAAAACTATCCTTGCAGAAATTTTAGTTACACTAAAATTATTATTGGCCACTTGAATTATTATTGATAGATTTAAAATTATTTAAAATGTTATTACAATCTATGCTTCCTTAATATTATTTGTACAAAACTCATTACATAAATAAGTGACTCGTGATGGCTAGAATAGAGATTATTTTTTCACTTAGTAATTAATGATCAAGAGGATTTTAGAAAGAATAGCACTTAGGCTGAGCGGGCGTGTAAAGGGCTCCGTTATAAAATTGTTTCTTCGATTTCTCCCAAGATATTATAGTGGCTTCGCTAAACGGATCTGGAACACACGATCTACATATTTCAGCCACTTTGTTGACTTCCCATTCGGCGGGTTCAAGTCTACTAGATTGAAGAGATTTTCGGTGTTTAATTTCGTAATATCTACCAACTCTACCATTACGGTCTCCGGTTATTGGTATCCATCTTTTATTCCGTTCTTGGTCGTCCGTTTTTACTATAACTTGACTTTGTGTACCACTGAAGCTTGTCGTGTTTCTTTTATACTTACCACCGCTTCTTCTCTCTAAACCGTTTGCCAGATAAAATTCATCAAAACTGTCCGATTTGAATGGTGAGTAAAAATCATAAAGTCCACCGTCGAATAGATTTAACTTCTGGTGTTGTTCAATCTGACCCTTATTCAAATCTTTAATTACTAATTCTGATACAGGCAAATTATGATCACGTTGACCGTTTATGAATCCTTCGCCATGTGCTAAATGAGGAGGTAGAGTTGGTTCAGGGGTAGAAGGAGTTTCTTCTTCCGCCTCATCATCTGCTTCATCGATTGCCGGATCGTATCCGTGGTGGAAATTATGCACGTGATGATGTTTATGGTCATTATATGCTTTGCCTGCGGTCAGTGCTGCTTTGTAGAAGGATAGTAACGTTAGTTCACCCGCATAAGCTGCGCCACCCGCAGCTAACTGATGATCCAAATATTCCCTACCACTTATAGCGATACCTCCACCAACGATAAGCTTTCCAACCATCTGAACAATAAAACAAAAAACAATACAATTAAATCAGTATATTATAAAATAATGATACTATAACGTATAATAAATACATAAATATAACATTTTTATTGAACTTCAGAAGGAATAAAACATAAGGTGTCAACCGTTTTTCAGTCAAAAACAGCCCGTTTCTGTCCATTAGTACGACAAAATTATTGATGTGATAAGAATTCTGAAAACAGATCTGAATTCATCATCATGTCACTGAAGTATCGGTCAGGCCACTTATGAAGTAAAATTCATTAACTTTTTTTTTTATAGAAACCAGATCAGTAATTTTATTGTTTCATTATAAATTTTTGTTATTTTTAAAATATAAATTCCTGGAGCAACATTTTTATGTTGACTTAATAGAATTCAATTTTTAATATTTGAAATCAAATTTTTTAGGATAAATTTCATGAAAGATAAATATAATTCGTTAAACTGGATAAAAAATGTTCCGTTTCATACTAATAATCCAATAGATACTTAGAATAAATAATGTACTAATCTAATGAACACCATTCGTTTATTTCTTTTTAATTTCTATGAATAGCGGTTATATTTATAAGTTTGAACGGTTTCTAATAAGAGATTCATTGTAATGATAATTTCGGATAAAAATTTTAAAAATATATATCTAATTAAATTTTTTTATACTAATAGTTTGACATAGAAATTTATATAGCATTCATTTTTTCTTATATACATTTTTAGACAAACTTTAGTGTAAGCACAACAACGAAACAATTCTTTATTTTCTAAACAGAATATATTGTCACATTTTACACATTAAGTTCTAAAAATATATTCAATCGGCTGTTATTGTCGAAAATTTTATGATATTGTTTTATCTGATTAAAAAAACAATCAGAATGAAACATTTCACTCCGTATAAAATTTCAGGTCACCGACCTGAATACAACTTTTATTTAAACATTATTTCATCAAATATTTATGAGTTAAAGATATTAACTCAAATCGAACAGATGGATTTTTTGTCTTATTATTTTATTTAGCGAAGACTCTACAGAAGAAATTTTAGTTTCGACAATGGGAGTTTTTTTTTTATTTGTTCGCCATTCTTCAATATTGGTTTCAATTGTTTGATTTTTACTCGAGGCTTCGATATATATATATAGATTATAAATCATATTTATGCCTGACATTAAAAAATAAAAGTCATAAAATTGGTTTTTCTTGTGAAAACACCTTGGCAATTCACCTTTATATTTTTAGTCGTTAAAAATGTATCATTTGAACTAATATTGTAGTCCCTGGTTAATTTTTGTTTTTTTTTTTTAAGAAGCTTATTAAGGATTACTTAAAGCCCTTTGAGTATAGCTACATATAATTTTACATAACTATTTTTTGAATATTTGTTATGTTGAGATGAGTATTTTTGTTTTAAGGACTTTTTATAAAAGTAGTAACAATAACACTAATGTTTATACTAATTTACCAAACAAAATTACAGAGAGTTAAATGTCAATTTACTGTTTAATGTTTTAAATGTACAAATGCATGTACATAATATAAAATTACTTTTATATTAAATATTAAAAAAAATTATAATAACCTTTTAGTGGTTGTGTTTGTTACTTAAATAATGCTATATACATAAATGATACCATCTGTTTGAAAAGCGAAACGTTTAAATTGATCAGTGGCCAAGCAATTAAATTAACCAATGTAAAACCTTTATTTCCTTAAATCATTTTTTTTAAAGAATTGCTTGCATTTACTAAATAATAAATATTTTATGTGAATCGTAATTATATTTATTTATGAAATAAATACTTTATATTTATTAATATATTCTGTATGTCTTTTTTCATTTTAAAAGTTTTGAGTTTTATTATGATAAAGCTAAAATATTTTTGTATCACTTGACTGAAATACTATCTTACACTTATTTTTGATAATAATGAAATGTGGAAAAGTCCTAAATCAGTATTTTGTCCGAATAAAGAAATATCCCGCATTATAATTTTTAAATTAAGTATTGTATGAATGTATTTTTATACACTTTTTATTATCGTGTTTATATTTTTCTTATTTATAAAACTATAAAATAGTAGCTGAGCATAACTAGTATACATTTTTTTTCATTTAATTTGTTAACTTATTTGTTATAAATATTGTACTAAAATAGTTATTTAAAAGCGATTATTGTTTTCACGTTCTTTATTATGTTAAAAAAGGTTTTAAAACGTACTCTATTTTAGTTAAATAAATTAATTTTAACGTTTAATTTATTTGAATAAAACACTACCAAACTAAAACATGAACTTTATTTTTAGTTCATTGTACATTTTTGTATAATAATCTTATTTTGTCTAAACAAATTGACTGCAGAAGTTTTTCAATTTAACTTGATGTATAAACCATCACTTTGAAAAGCGTAAGAATAGAAATACAAAGAAAAGGATCCTCTGTTAAATAATAGTCATTAAAAGTGAACTTTTTAAGTTCTATTATTATTTATATATACCGTCTTCAAGTTGGCTCGCCAAAAGTTAACATAGCTACCTTAGAAATATTAATGTAATGGAACTATAGAAGGAATTCCTATCTCGTTAGTTGTATTTTCATTCCTATTTATCCATGATTGCAAAAAAATATATGAAACGTACAATTAATTTATGTTACTCACCAAGTTGTAAAATCCTCGGCCCACTCTTTCAGAGTTTATCCAAAGTTGCCATTCACCGGTGTGTCCATTCCATGACTGACAAACATGATACCATTTGAATAGTTTTTCTGGATAGTTCATTCTGTAGATTGTGTGTCCATTAATAGCCAAATTATAGTAAGTCTTCTCGGGTGAGTTTTCAATCCAAGAATAGATAAGTCTATGTTTACCAGGTGCTGGAAAAATGTTCAAAATGTTCAATTAATTATTGAAATTAATTAAAATGTTTAATAAATAATATCTACTTAGTTCTATTAATTGAAACTTTTTTTATTTTTTCCATAACGCCTATCCCACTTTGTATATAACGCAACATATAAAATATCACTACCTATTCAGTACTACGTTTTAAAACTATTGTTCAAACAATATTTTGGTGTATTTTGAGGCTCTTAAACTTTTGTTCAGTTTATATAATCTGCCTTGGGGCCTTAGTTAATATCGCTGTCAGTGCCAGAATAATTTTGTGGTTTGTTCATGTTCTACTAAAGAAATACTCTTAAACTTGCCTCTGTTTAATTTACCTACGTGTTCATCGATCAAATATTACTACTATAATTTGATTACTACTATTTGAATACGTATACCATGGAACTTCTGATCTACTGGTCTGATGTATTCTCTTTAACAATATTCATTTAAATGTCAATTTACGTCCAACCGAATTACATATTATAACGAAGCGAAATTTATTTTGATTTGAACACTCAGAGTGGTTAGTAAAGAAATTGAATTTTATTCTATTTCTTAATAGAGTAACAGTCATTGATTTTTACTTACATGAATATGAAAATATTGGATGATCATGAGTGTAGTTGAAGATATTGTGCCAATGACATAATGTGAACTCTTTAAGATCGGGAATTTTCGATTTGTATACTATGTACTACGGAAAACAAATTTAAAAAGTGCATTCATAAAAGTCATAAGTTATTAATAGATGTTTATTAAAATAGTGTTTATTACCTGAGGTAAATGTGTACCTTGCGTGAACACGGCTTTATGAAGATCACAACCCTCTGACTTGTAAAGACTAGTGCTTTCACCATTGGACGTATACGCTGGAGGAGTTTTGAAACCAATTGTATACTTGAGTGGATAAGATCCTTCACTCCATTGGTATGGTTTGTATTTATATTGAACCTTCCAATGCTGCTCTGTTTTAACGACCAAGAAGCTGGCCACCAAAGATATTAATAATGTACGGGATATTTTCATTATTAATCTGAAAAAAATGATATCAAAATTGTTTGTACATTAACCTTTCGAGTATAATATAAAAAAGTTTACTTAATAGTATTCTAATTTAACGGTTTTAATCGAATTCAATATAATTCATAATCTAACAAATGATAAATATTGAACGGTTTAAAGTAAGTGATTTAAAGTTTACCTTCGACTTGTCTGATTCGGCAGTATTTATTGAAAAAAAGTTTTCTAAATACATCGAAAGATCGCGGGTAAGTTTGTTTATTTAAGTCGTCAACATCGAGAAACCGCCTAAAGCATTTGGTGCACCTGTTTAAGGTTCATTTCATTTATTTTATAGCGTTACAAAACACTGCCTTTGTACTTTTACTAAGGTAGATTTATTTTATTCTCTAATAGTATAGCGTTTTTCAATTTAAAATAACTCATAGTTTTCATCTTCATACTATTATATTTATTAGGAATAATTCATAAGGGTTTAAATGAATATATTTGATATTTATTTACTTTTCAGTATACATATTAAATTCCTATTAGTTTTTATGGAATTTATCGAATTTTCAACGAAAATAACGATAGAAGTCATTAGAAAATTGTAGAAATTCCAACAATATATACATATATTTTTTTTAACTTTTATTTAAAAAAATGCAAAAATAGCTATTTTAGCGGATAATTTTTATAGAAAAAATTTCATACCTCACTTCAATATTATGTTATTTTTATCCTTCTCTAATAAGCATAGACCAACGAATATACTATAAAATAAACTGGAAAAAAATCAAAATGTTCTAGAAATTGAACCACAAAACATTAAAAAAAGATTTTATTATCAAATAATTTTTCATAACATGGTCTATAAAATGATTATCTTGATTTTTTTACAAATTATAAAGAAAAAAATTTAGTGTATCAAAAATTATAAGATTTGACAGAACATAGTGCAACACTCTGTATACAGGCTGATTCTTTTAATGCTAGACATTTGATTTTTCTTAAAATGGAATTTGTTTTATTTACAGTTGCATATGTATATCTCTCTATTTATCTGTTATAAAATATTCTTTATGTTCATCCCTCGTGTCTTATAAGAGTGCCAAATTTATTTTTATAATGGCAATATACCTGTTTAACTAGCTTACAAAATAAAAAATATCATCAAATTAAGAAAATGACTGGAAGAAGAAAACGATTTTAATCCATTATTTTTGAAATTATTACTATTTTAAAATATATTATGGAAATAAGGGGTAGATATGACAATATGTATCATTAAACATTTTTTAGCCGCAGCTCTTCTCCCGTCTAGGTATAAAAATCGAGTGGGGCTATTTATATGTTGCTATTTGAATAAATAAAGGTGGCATTCTAATAAGGTATGAGGGATAAATATAAATAACTTTTATAACAAATAGATGAAGACGCATGTGTAACAAACAAAAGTAAAAAAAATTATTATTCTAAGAGATATTGAGTGGCTAGTGTCACAAGTATCACACTGTGTAAGTAAACACTTTTATCTACTATGGATAATGACACGAGTAGTTGTCGTCAATTTTAGACTAAGTCGATTTTGATTATTTTCACTTATAATGTCGTTACCCGCTAGAAAATTGAAACTCGTCTGGTTTCCCAGAGAAGATTTACATCAATATAATTTCATATACAACGGTTGTTGACAGTTTTAGGAAACGTGAAAAATAGAGTTGCACCATAAATATATATCTCCACGCGAAATAGGATATAACTAAGTTATATAGACGTGTCGCACTGTGCACACAAAAAACACCGCTGTGCCGCGCTAAGTACACTCATCAACATTGACTTGACGTTTTGTAAAATACGATTTGTGATTTTGCACACACACATTTGCAGTAATACAATAATAACACATAAACAAAAGACCCACCCGCTGCTCGCGAAGGTCTTTTTCCCGCACCAGTCCAGACATTGCAGCGGCGGTACATTCGATGTAATTTTTTAGAAACAACGGCATTTTCCAAGGACCGTCGGGTGCGTATGTTATATAATTATATGACGTGTATGTTGTCTGATGTGTTCGCCAGACGAGAGCCAACAGCAGTCCGGTTAATGTTTCTGATCTCTCCAATTTCAGTAATAGTTGCAAATGTGAGGAAAATCGCGTATTGCGCAAATTTATTTCAAAAATATCAGTTTTCTCTACAAAGACTGCTCGAGGTCACTGGCGCCTAGTAATGAACCATTTATTAGATTCCAACGCAAAACTCATTGCTGTGATGAGCTTTTAATCTCGTGTACAATCGATTGTTATGTTTATAATAACACGGTTTTTCTGTAGGATTATAACTATCACGACAAAGCCGATGTGATAAACAAATATAGTAAAATCGTGAACGCGTGTAAAATAAATGTTCATTAATAAAAAATTTATAATTAATCCCGTTTTTAGGAATAATGCTTCGATTTTATTGCAAACGCATTAACTGATTCGTTTGGAAATTAAATAAAATAAATCCATATAATAAAAATTGATCTCTTTAGGCTAATTAATTTAAAATTAAAACTATATTTAAAAAATTTAACTCAAAAAGCCACATTAAAACTATAAAACTAAATAAAAACGTAAATAATTACAACGAACTTATTATAAGGGACGCAATAGAAATATTTAAAAATAAGAACAATTTAATTAACCTTGGCTTAATGAAAAATTCATTATTAAACTTGTGTAAACTGAAAAAATGTGATAACATTATTTACTGATAACGTCACTAGGGGTCACTAAGGGGTTTTTTTTTCCGGTCGAGGTGTTGGTATGTGTTTAGTGTTGATAATAGTAAAATTGTTTCCAAACTACGTATCCGCAATTTTTAAGTTTTTTTTTTGTGGTTTTTGAGTTTAATATTTTTTAGTTTTAAATTAATAATATTTTATATATAGTTTTAATATTAAATAAAAAGTAAATTCGGACAATTTTTTCAAAAACCCATAAAAAAATCTGAGCTAATTTTTTGTCTGCCAATATAAAAAATTATCGCTATGATATGGCCATGGCATACCATAAATATAATTATTATTGAAACCGCGTTTTTATTTAGAAAAAATTCTATAAGACTACCCGTTCAAATATTGATATAAAACTCGGCGAGTTTTTAGCTTTTTATTTTTATTATTATTATTTTTTGGGTAAACCTTAAATAACATTGACGTCTTGGATTTAAACAAATACCGGGTCTTTTCCAACCTTATATTTTAACAAAGGAAATTTCGAATAAACGTGAAAATTGTATTCGGTACTTAATAGTGCATGAATAGGAGAAATGTAGAAAAACTTTTTAAATAAAAAAGTAGCAAAATACTCGGTATTCTATGTTGACCTTTAGATACTAATTTTATTTGTATGTTTGGATGAGTAAATAAACCAGTCCATAAACAAGTCCATACTAACAGTACTTTTAATTAAATAGATAAAATTTTAACAGAACTTTAATTAAATGTTTTCAGTTTTTAACGTGACGTTGAAAAATAGTAATTAAATAACTGCCATTTTATTTGTAAGAATATATTCGTTTCATAATCGCGTCAATGATTATGTAGATTGATTTTGTAATCTACTCAACAACACAATAAAGAAAATTTAGCTTTTCATTTTTTAACCATCATTGTTTAAGATGCCGTTTTGTTAGAGGTTATAGCAATGACTTCTTTATTTTTCTAGACAACATAATTATCACTTTCAATTATTCCCCATGGCGTGAGCCATAATATCATCACTATCAGGCCATCATACACCTTTAACGACAAATTGCTATTATATTACTTATATTCCATTTCAATTAGTGCAAATTCATTTATATCAAACATGAATGCAATTATACTTGGTATCCGGTAGTAGTGACAATAAGAGACCGTTGGTGTTTCATCAACGCTACCGAGTTTACGCAATTGTCTTTTTACAATGAAATAGAAATGCCATACCTAAAAATAGGACATATAATTCCGTACAATGTTTGCGATGGATCGTTTAGAATACTTAATTAAAACACGGTAAGCAATTGTTCACTGTAACCCAACCTGTATTTTGCATTATTAAAATCGTCTCTATTTACTTCTCATTTTGTCATGACTAGCACTAGAACATAAACAGTAATTGTTTTAATATTTTTTCGTGCGGTTGCAAAAAATAAAACTTGAAATTTATACGGAACTGGAAATTTTCATTTTTATCAGATTTCAAAAATTTAATACCGTCTTACTAAATTATCTCACGTTATCAAAATTTAATTGACCCTAATGAGTACGATGGCACAGTATGATGTTCTATTAAAAAATCATTCGTAATAACTAAATTAAAACAAAAGTTAATTAAAGTCGACAAGATTACACGATTGAAATATTTTTAATTATGTATAACGAACCAAATATTATACTAACACATTTCGGGTTAAAAGTATTTTTTTTTTTTTTAAAAATTCATGACATTTTTCAACTTATTTAAAATAGTTCTAATCGTTTTTTCTCAAACCTAATATTAGTTTAATGTTTTTAATTTTGATGGAATTCACAATTTTTTGATAATTTTTACAAGGTAGAACATCTTTTTTGTGTTGAAAATCTTTATTGTTTAAATGAATAATAATAGTTATGTTTTTATTTTGTTGTATTGAAAGAAAACAAAAGATAATTTTGCAATTATGACAGGTTAGCTCTAAAGAATTATTTTTTCTGTCGAGGTGACTAGAAAGACAATATTCGGGGTTACCTTTATGATATAAGGACACATGTTAATTGGTCAGTGTACAACTAATGTGGTCTAAATTTCCACGCGATTGCGACAATTACCNTCGTGTAACCTTTATGATATAAGGACACATGTTAATTGGTCAGTGTACAACTAATGTGGTCTAAATTTCCACGCGATTGCGACAATTACCCAAGTTACGATTTTTTGGCCACTGGCGATCAATTGTTTGTAGTTACAAATATAAAAGACGATAATGGAATAAAAATAATGTTTTGATAAGAACAATATACACGTGCTCGGTTAAGTATCTATTAATACATTTCGATTAAGTACGTGATTCGAACGAACATTGGATTATATTTTATTGTTATTATTATATTTTCATTATTATTATTGTTGTTATTGTCGGATACCAATTGAAATTCTATCGGATTTACCAATGTAATAGTAATATATTTTACAACAGTGGTGTATTACAGATGTAATATGGCTAATGAGTGCTACATCGCAGCCTTTGGCATTTAAGTCTAAAACTATATCGAATTAACATGACTTCATACTATTTGTTAATATAGTTCAATGTCTCGGTTTGATCGGTAAACTTATAAATTTTCTTCGAGTTTTTAAAAAACGCTTGCTTGAAAAATAGTCAATTTATTATAAAAGTTTAATTCTACAGCTTATATTACTTATTATTTCGACTTTTCGATTGAAATGTTTGAAAGAAAAATAACTTTTAAAACTGTTCACGTCATAAATATAACATATTTCTATTTTTATTTCACTTTCTTCCTCGTTTATATTTAATCTAATCAATTTTTGGACTATTAGTCATTTGTTTCGAATTTCTAATTAAGATAAAGAAATACAAGTTTTGTTAAATGTTTGAAACAAAAGCTATGAAAAATAAGAAGATTTATAAACTAAAAATCGCTTTAATCATAAATATTTTTAATAACGAATAAAAGTAAATAATTAGATATTTAAATGAAAGTTCAACTTTTTATATGGGAATATCTTTTTAGACATTATCGTTACGGAAACCATCAAAAGTTCATAAAATTTATTTACTAACTAAAAAGTATCATTAATGTTACACTCCTAATTTTATGACAAATCTTCAAAGATGTGCTACCTCGTTAACTTTTCTTTGCATTAAAGAACATAAGAAAGAAATAAAAAGTGAGAGCCTTATAAAAACTTCATCGGTTTGAAATACTGGATTATATATTTTATTATTCAATTATCCTTTTAATGGTAAAGACTGGATTATTATTATTTATCTGATAAAAATTTCTTCTAAACACTAATCCAAAAGTAATTGCTGTGTAATTTATAAGACATTCGATAAAAAATTATTACGATTATAACGATAATAAAAAAAAAATCGAAAATTCTAATTTATTAGTTATGAATTCCTAATTAAATGTATATTAAATAGAAAATTGTTTACTAAAGTGTCGTAAAATTTAATTAATTAGTATATAATTTCTAATTTCAAAATTGTCGTTCGTTCAGAGCACTACTTATCATGTCGCCATTGCTTGGATTTCATTAAATTAGTATATTCCATTAAACCTTGATTTCGATAAAGTTTAGAGGATTTCATTAATACAAATTGATTCACTTTTTTTTGCTTTCAGCTTTTTAAATCTATTAGAGTTATTATAATTGCTTGATTGTAGTTTCTACTTTTTATTTTACATCAATTAAATATCAAGTAATCACATTGTATGTAATTATTAATACAAAAAAAAACTGTTTTAAAACCCAATTTTAAATATTTATAGATCAAGTGTAAGATTCTCAAAACAACATATTCGTTACAAATAATCGCTACTGTAAGCTTATAAAAGTTGTGTCATTTTTTATTAATACATATATGCTTTCAGTGTAATAATTCTTCTGTGAACAGTTATCTCATTTTCTTGGTCCAATAACTTTACAACTATCATTTAAAAATTTTCTAATAAAAGAATATAGCGATCTTGCTATCTGATTGATGTATAAACATGAATTCATGTATGATTCACATACACACTTGAGTGAACATTTTTTACAGCAAATAAATACACATCAAATTATTTTTTAAACTGTCTAATTTTGTCACGCGTTTCAACAGAATATTTTTACGATCGCACTGATGAAATAAATATGTTATTGTTTTCAAACAAACCTGATGAAAATGGCATAGTTATTGTACAATTTTAAAATATTATTTTTTCTATGATTTTGTTTGTAAAATTCTATTTTCGATCTTCTAGGTTGTTATAAACATAAACATTTGAAAAGAAAATGTTATAATTTTCGATTGTGTTAATTTTAAAGTATATAAACTCTAAAATTGTGTTTGTTATCCAAAATAATAAGTAAAAACATAAACGAAAATACTTGAAAGTTTACCTCACCTCCAAATATTTTTTTAACTCTGTATATTTTTATTAATTAAGTTAAAGTATAGATTTCACTTGTATGTAATCTGTAGCAAAATTCAAATTTGAAAAAAATATTCACTTACTTGATCGATAAGTGTTCACTTATTTCACTCGATATTTTCGGTTTGTTTGCACTACGATTTATTTCCTACAACATCCAAATCGATTTAAAAACTAAAAAAAATCTGTATTTCAATCCGATAACGTTGCGATTAACGACAATTGCAACGGCGGAGCGATTGTAGACAATTTGCGTGTGTGCGAGAAGAACACTGTCGAGTGTCGGAAACCTGACTATGCGGTTGACGGTTCTCCCGGCGAATTCATTGGTTATGACGGCGATATAACATGAAGAGTATATCCCGTGGTCAAGCAGAAGTTAAAAAATATACTGTAAACGGGAGAAGACTGCTTTCTCCGGGAGATGTGTGTAAAAAAAAGTAGAATAATGAAGATAAATACAAAATGTATGTGGATAAGCCCAGCTGCGTGCCGTCTCGACAAAACTTATGTCACCATTATAGAGACACTATCGTAATTTTCGACAGATGTCCATACAGGAAGTCCGCCGTGCGAATTGCAATCTGATATTACTTTTTTTTTTACCCATAATATCTAATAATGATGCTCTTATTCTTGGGAATTACACGCATAACCACTTTGCTAACGCTAATGAGCCGTAAACAATAATATATTCATGCTAAACAAAATGCATAGGATTTTATTTGCAAGTCTAGTCTCAGAATGATTCGTGGGCTAAATTCTAACCGATGAGGTTTTTTTAGTTATGAGTATTCTTTTGGGTTGTAAAGCTATTAAATTATCTATTCGCCAATAACAGGGTTCACTGTTATCTTTATTTAATTTCAGGACTAGAAACCGATATAATTTCGGTATTTGGCAATTTTTCTTAAATCCAGTAAATTAGTTTATCTATATGAAATTTTTTTTGAATACTTGTTAAAAAAATGACTAGAGAAATCAAATATATTATAATACTGTCTTTGATACATTAATTGAACTTAAAACTGACTTAAAAAAGTTTATGGAATACGATATACGTTAACTAACTTTCTAAATATAATAAAATTTTGAAAAATTGAAATTATGTCGGTTCCATTTGATATATTATAAAGAACAATTATTCTTACTGATTATTTAGTGTTATATAAATTGAAAATAAGTATTGTATTAAATATTTTAACTAGTTTACTATGTATCAAAACAATGTGATGTGCAATGATTCTTTGTTTGAAGAAATATTTATAAAATATATTTTGGAATTTAATTATTTTATTTTAACGGTATTATACTGATAGTGTAATTATATTAGTACACGAGCTTATTGATAATTGAAATTTAAGCCAAAAATAATTAATATCGATTTTTTCCATTATTTGCCTTTGAAATTGTGTTTTCTTAGATAGATATAAAGTGTTAATAAATAGAAATAGATTAATTGTAAAGATTTTCTTGTTTCGTTGTTTTCTAAAATTAAATTAAAAACTAGTGAACATTTCAACTCTTGAAATAATATGCTTGTGAGAAACTAAAAAATAACTTTATTTCTCAGATGTTTTGTATTGAAAGAATAATGGTTCACAATAGTCAATAAATTTACAAGTTTTTGAAAATTGTATAGTCACATTTTTTTGCTGTCGAATGTGAAAATAATACACACTAAACAGATGTCTGTACAATCATACATCATACATTTACTCCGGCGACCCTTTAAATCTAAAATTGAATGTAGTTGCATAAAAACCGATCTCAAAATAATAATAATATATTTGCATAACAAAAGCCGTTTGTTCGGCATGGAATAGCTATGCAGAATATATTGTAAAAATACTTGTTTATTTTATTAATTTTTGAATATATATGTTCAGTCTAAAAATGATTTATAACTTAGAAACTGTCTTTAGACTTGGACAGAATCAGAAGTTTTGCTTTGAATCCAAGTATTAATAATATTCAGCAAAAACTAGTAGTTGTTTACAAATATTGTACTAAGTTCTGTAATTCTGACGAGACAAAACTCATTATAGATTTTGATAGTTTATGTTTTGAACTTTAGATTCTACTTAATAAACATTAAGGGTACATTTCTAAACGCTTTGATTGCTATTGTTGTAACGATAATAGTTAGAAAAGCACAGCGATGTTGTAATTTCCTAAACGTCAAATAAACGTTCAGCAAATTGAATTGTACAACAATAAAAATAAACACCAGGATAATAATACAACATCGAAGCATAAATATTATTAGAAGTGCCAAATCAGAAGATATCATTTGTCCTTTTCGTTCCGGTGTGTCCATCATCAGTATACGCTTTGTAGACGGGTATAATTTAGGTGAAATCCGACTATTTTTCCCCATTAAATGTGATTAATAAAAAATAAAAGTATTTCCTTTCTTTCTCGTGGTCATCTGCGACTTTTAAATGACATCAACGACAATTTTATTTAATATAATAAGACAACAACACAACACTATTGAATAAATCCGGTAGTCATTATATTTGATTATCCGTTAATTCTAAATTAACAAGTCGCCTATACACAATAGTTTTAAAATGTCCTTGGATCATATTGTGGTTTTCATATTAATTATAATGATCGTTATAAATAAATATTCCTATTACAATGTTTAATAATAACGATATTAAATAATTTCTCGGCTAAATAAATAATTTTAATTATATTACAAATGAATATAATTATTTATAAGCAAACTAATAGTTTTGAAGATACTATGGTTGTTGAGTTTTACTGATTTAAATTCATAGAATTTTTATTATGTTTTCAAATTGAGCTTATACAAATGTATAGTTTTCTATAAAATTTCCGGTTTTTAAAGCTTTCAATTGATTAGTGGCCTATTGCCAGTAAAATGTGATTTATAGACTAAATACTCACCAGTCGTAGTTTAACATCGTTTAGTTTATGTTTGCGTAAGTTGTTTAGAACTCTGATATTTAATACACCAATAGCTTACTAAATAATAAAGGTAATGGGAAAATTTACAGCTGTTTAGTTGTTATGTGTTCCGAAGAATTCCATTTCAATATTATCTATTGAACCGTTATTATTGAAAAACTATTACTGAGACATGATGTTTTACAAACGGAAAATTATACAGCTCTTATTAATAATCATACCTTCTTTGTATCATTAATGTCTAATGCTTTGGCTGTTTACTTTACTAATTTATGCTACACATTAGTTAACTAGTAGTTTTAAAACTTTTATCGGATAAATTGTGATATAGTTTGACCGAAGTTGTTTTTGTAAATTTATTTACAACAGGGCTGTTACGTTTTAAACTCGCAGTGATTAAAACACCAAAAATTTCAAAATTTACATTGGTCTAATAGGACATTTTTAACGTTTTAGGCTGTTTACTAATATTTGATATAGTTTGCTTTTTGGAAAAAAGAACATGTTTTTTAACAACCCTGATTCACAGGAACTTGTTTAGTACATGTAAAATTTATCATAAAGTTGTTTCACATAACTTTTTATAAACAATCGGTATGAAAACTGAGTTTCTAGGTTGCATATATAAGCAAAACTACGGATCGGACCGTCTAGGTTATGACCTGACTTAATATTTTTGGATTCTTTCCGGCCAATAAGTGCAAAACTTTTGACAATGTGAGATTTCACAGAAAAAATAACACAAGATAATTAAATTTTAACAGTTATAATCTAAGAACTTTATAAATTAATAAATATATATATATACATAATATTATAATATCTTATGTTATAAGATAAATAAATAAAAAAGTAGCATATAAGTATTTTATCGATTTGAAACGAAATAGTTAATTACTAAATTTATTTAAATTATATTATATTATTATATGATATAAATTATTATGTTCATCCTTAAAATTTAAGGGTGACTATTTCTGTAATGCGCTATTTTTAAATTGATTCAATCATTTTGATTCAAATATAACTAAATAAAACTGGGTTTTTTTTTTAGGGAAAGGTTAACTTAATTTCCCCTTCTTAATACCCATTTACTACTTGTAGACTAAGCCATCTTAGTTTCACTAGATTATAACAAAAATAATTATTTAAAAATCCAAAAATATGATCCCAAATTATTTTGGCCTGACCTTATAAGTCTAGTTTCGCCTATGGTCGAGTATACTGTTATATAAGTTGTGTGAATAATTTTTCTATGGCTGTGAATAAATTAATATCAAATTTTAAAATTGAACACATCAGTAACAACATTTAAATATTTTTAATGGCTTACATATATTGCATCATTATCTACTTGCTATTTTTTTCTTTAAACAACTTAATTTCTATAAATAAATATATATATATACATATATTGTTTATATGATATGGAATAATATTACAAAGTTTATTTAGTATAATAATAATTTAAAAAAAAAACTAATTATACATCTCATATATGGCACCCGTATGTTAATTATATTTGATAATTTTTTTTCTCTGAATACAAAAGGATTGAATGAGATTAGTAAAAGGGTAACAAAAAACTAAGTGTATGCAATTAATTTGGGTGTATGTCGTGTTATAACTAAGTGCGTAGAAATAAAAGGCAATATGTTGTAAATGTTGCAACATGAAAAGTTAAACTGATCTTTTAAAAAAGTTAAATAAATAAATAAAATTGCAAATGAAATTCAATTCTCTTTAAAATGGTACTTAAACATGATGTTTAACTTAGTTTTACGGTTTTAATTGATTGCGTGGTATTTTTATTTATGTATTAATAATCAAGTTAAAATTGCTCCCCAACTAGTAACTTCATGTTCTAATGTACTTAATTTAATGTTTTATTGTATTTTTATTGCGCAGCTAGTATACATTTAAAGTAAACTATATGTCTTCTCTTAGTCTTCCAAAAAGTAGAATCATTTACAATACTTTCGCTACATTTTTGATGATTACATAGTCTTTGAAACAAACAATATATACCTGAGATATGCGTTATTCATTTTATTTTTAACTTTCTAGCAATAATTATCTTTCTTAAAGTATAATATTTTAAATCAATAATCGATAATTTCATTTACTGCTCTCGCGTTACATTACTTTCCATCGGCCATCACTTATTACCGTAAAAAGTTATCTTTAAATACCACCAAGATTGTCATCTAGTTTTGAATTAATAATCCACTTTATATAAAATTGTTGTTACTTAATAGAATCGGAAATGAAAGAAAAATTAAAACTCAATTAATCGAAATGAATAATTTCACCAATAAATTCAATATTTATTTAACAGACTAATAAAGATTTTTTGATCGAAATTCAGTATTCTCTTTTTTTTTAACAGGTAACTGC